AAAAAAAAAAAAAAAAAAAAAAAAAAAAAAAAAAAAAAAAAAAAAAAAAAAAAAAAGAATGAATCAAACACTAGAAAAACAACGAAATATCAGGAATTAGTACACACCTCTCAGTAATAACACAATGTAAGAGGTCTTAATTCTCCAATTAAAAGCCACAAACTGGCAGATTGGATCAAAAAGCAAAACCCAACTATATGGTGCCTATAAGAAACACACCTCACCTGCAAAGATACACACAAAATGAAAGTGAAAGTATGGAAAAATGATACTCCAAGCACCAGGAGCCCCAAATCAAGCAGAGTTGCTATACTTATACCCAACAAAGTAGACTTCAAATTAGAAGAGAGAAAGGCTATTAAATATTAGTAAAAGTAATAATTCCTAAGATATAAATTGTAAATATACTGAATGTTGGTGTATCCAATTTCATAAAATATACTCCTTTACACAAAAATTCAGACATCCAAATACATAGTGAATGACTTCAGTACTCTTCACAAATGGATATGTCTACTAGACAAAAAAAACAAAAAAACAAAAAAAACAAACCCCCCAAAACAAACAAAAAAGAAACATCAGTTAAATTACACTATAGAGTAAACAGAATCTGAACAGATACATAGAGAGCATTTCACATAACAACGGCAGAATACACACTGTATTGTTTTTTGTTTTTTTGATACCGGGGATCAAACTTGGGACCTTGCACTTTCGAGGCAAGTGGCAGCACCATTGAGCTAAGCCCCTGGCCCAGAATGCACACTCTTTTCAGGAATCTACTAAACTCCAAAATAGATCATACTTTAGGCCACAAAGCAAGCCAATAAATACAAAATAACTAACTTAATTTCATATATCCCATTAGATAATAATGGAATGAAGCTAGAAATCAAGAGCAAAAGAATCCACAGAATCACACAAAAGCATGGAGATTAAATAATTTTTTGTTTTAGATAGGGTCTTGCTATGTAGTTTAGGCTGGCATCTAACTCATGATCCTCCTGGCTCAATCTCCCAAATACTGGGATTGCAGACATGCATCACTATGCCTGGCTCCAGACATAGCGGCGCATGCCTGTAATCCCAGCACATGGGAAGCTAAGGCAGGAGGATTCCTGTGAGTTTGAGGTCAACCTCAGCTACATAATGAGTTCAAAACCAGCCTGAACTACAAAGGGAGCCCCTGCCTCAAAAGCCAAAAACAAAAAAATAAAAATACTCCTATGAATGATCAGAAGCCATTGAAAATATCAAGGAACAAATTTTCAAAAATTCCTAGAATCAAATAATGGAAACACAACGTGTGAGAATTTGGGAGATAAAATGAAATTAGTTCTAACGGGCATGTTTATAGCTATGAGTAACTATATCAGAAAATAGCAATCCCAAACAAGTAACCTAATAATGCTTCTCAAGGTCCTAAAAGAACAAGAATAAGCTCTCAAGAAAACAAATTTTGTTGAAGGCATACCTCTGTGGAAAAGGTATGCAACAAAAATGGAAATACAGGGGAAGGGAAAAGATGAGGGAAGAAAAGAGAGGAAAAGGGAAAAGAACAGAAAAAATTCTTAATACTAGCATACCTTGGTATTCTATTGCTTTGTTTTGAAACTTGTAGAATTTTGTACTTAACACATTTTGAAGGGAAAAGTACTTGTCGTTTGTTTGGTACTTAAGGTACAAGCTAGAACTTATTGGTATTGATAGCCTTATAACTCAATACCTTTCCAGCTAAAACAATCTGTTTGGTACTCATAGTTACACCTCCCCAAACCAATTAATGATTAATACTACATGCTCAAAATGAGGTGCTATGATCTAGGTAGAGTGAAAATTTTGAAAGCTGGGCCCTGGTGATAAGAGTACAAGTAGATTTCTAAGAAGTGTTACGTGATTCGCAGTTCTAAATTAAAAGCAAAATTACTAGTAAATTATAAGCAAAGCAAGCTGAAACGATGGCCATGCTATGGAGAGTACATACATTTCACTCTTGAGGGCTTAGATCTTCATAAACCTGCATTCACAGAACCTTCTCTGCCTTGCTATGGCTGAATGTGAGTCTGCACAGATGAACTGGCTATCTTGTGTGTAATAAATACAGTAATATCTTGGAAGATTCTTGGGGAACCGAATGAATGTATTATCGTTTGGTAGTAGGTCACTGCTGATAAAAATTCTAGTAGAGTTGCTGATTTCAAGCTCCCCCATATCATACAGAGGAATCAAATAATTACTTTTACCAGTTTAAGTCACTAAGGAAAAATGGTATTAGAACAGGAAGAAAAATGTCAGAGTAGTTTTATCTGAGGACACTTTTTGGAAGAGTTCATTTTATCTATATCCAGTGCAGACCAGCTTTTTAGTAGACAGCAGCCAAGTAAATTAGAAAGAGCATATTTCTAAGCAGGAAACAACTGAAGGTCTCCTTTATAAAAGGCCATTTCAGTGGTTAAATGGAAGTGTAGTTTAACACAAGCAGTGCATTTTTGTGGTGAGATGTGGGTGAGAAAATACCAAAAGTTGAATGTGGTAACACTGGAAGCACCCACAAGGGGTGTTGTTGGGGGTGGGTACTAAACAGTACCCTTGGGCCGGGGATTTGGTTCAGTGGTTCCACCGCCTGCTTCATAAGCACAAGGGCCTAAGTTCAATCCCCAGTACCAAAAAACAAAACAAAACAAACAAAAAAAAACTAACCACATGTTGAGACTTATGTACAAAACAATATTTCTCTCTTCAGAGCAATATCCTTGTTATGGTTTTTTCCTACATGTATTCCATAAATTAGCTTCATGCAATCATAGGTAGGACCTCTGGAGGATGACTGGATTATAGGGACATTATACCTGGCTCGCTATTAGGAGGTGGGGCCTGTTGGAAAAGGCAGGTCATGTGGGCATGAAGGTCGTATCTCTCTTTGCTGTTCCTCCCTTGACTCTGTTTCTTGGCCAAAGGATGTGAGCAGCTTTACCTCTGCCATGGCCCCCTGCCATGCTGTCCTGCCTTGGAGCCAGCTGACCGTGAACTGTAAACATGAACCAAAATAAACCTTTCCTCCTTTAAACTGCAGGTGTCGGGTATTTTGCCCCGGTGATGATGAAAGTGGCTAAGACAGTCCTTTAATCCACCCTGGATGGTCAAGCCTTTGAGTCATAGAGAAAATCTGCACCAGCAGGAAGCAGGGTGATAAACTGGGGCAAAATGCTTCCTTGTCTGTCCAGGCTGCCAAAAAGCTGAGAATCAAATCTGATGTTATATCACAATAACAAAATGTTCATATGGTTTAACATATTTACTTAAATAAAATAAACAGTAAAAAAAACCTCCTGAAAATATTTAGTTTATCTTCTTTTTTAAAGTTCTGATTATTCTATATAACTAAGCTTAACTATGTAATTAAATTACAATTAAGATCTGTCTGAAGTTAATGAAGATCATTTGTAGGCTGGGGGTGAGGGGACAAAGACTCTAGGCTCAGTTTACTCCTTAGTAAATTAATAAATCAACCAATCAATGTAAAATTAGTACCTGCATCTCAGATGTCTATACTCAACCACTGTTTTGAAGAACAAAAAGAAGTAACAAATGAAACTATCTTAAAAATTCAAGGTACAGGATACAAAATCAAAAAGAAGCAGCAAAATGTATCATGCATAGGTACAAATTCCCTATAATGAATATTATCATTAGGTATATCTAAAATGTACCAATAAAATAAAAAATAATGAAAAAAAGGATACAAAATCAGTATCACAAAATCAGTAGCTTTTCTATATGCCAGTAATGAAGTAGCTGAGAAAGAAATCAGGACCACTAACAGTGGCTTACAAAAAAAAAAAAAAGAAAGAAACACAAAACAGAACACCCCCAAACCTAGGGATAAACCTAATGAAGAAAGGACCTCTATAACAAAAATTACAGTGCACTGAAAAAATTGAAGAGATACTAAAGATGTGAAGACCTCTCATGTTTATGGATCAGGAGAATCCATACTATTAAGTGGCCATATTATGAAAAGCAATATACAAATTCAGTGTAATCTCCATCAAAATTCCAATGATATTTTTTAAGTCTTAAAAATTCATATGAAAACACAAAAGATGCAAAATAACCAAAGTACTCCTAAGCAAAAAGAGCAAGACTAGAAGTATCCCAGTACCCAATTACAAAGTCATAATAACCAAAACAGCATGAGCTTGGTGTGGTGGAATATACCTATAAAACCTGTATTCAGGAGGCTGAGGCAGGAGGATTAGTTTGAGGACAGCCTGGGCTATGTAGTGAGTTTAAGGCTAACTTGGAGTACACAGAGAGACACTGCTTCAAAAAAAAAAAAAAATCAAAGAACAAAACAAAAGAGCATGGTATTGGCACAAAAATAGACATAAAGACTAATGGAATAGACGAGAGGGCACACAAACCTACCCAATTACAGCCATCAGTTCTTGACAAATGAGCCAAAAAGGTATGTTGGAGAAAAGACAGCCTCTTTAACAAATGGCACTAAAAAAACTAGATATCCATATGTAGAAGACTAAAATTATATATATCCCTATCTCTCACTCTAAAAAAAACAAAACAAAACAAAACAAAAGAAAAATATGAGAAAACGAAGAAATGGAAATGAAGTATTTGTAAAGGGGGAGGGAGGAGGGGTGAAGGGAGGGCAGGGACAAGGGGAAAAAATGAGAACCAGGACCTGTCGTGTAAAGGTACAAGATCCCAATAATGAATGTAACTGTACTGTATACCTAAAATGTACCAATAAACTCAATGAGGAAAAAAAAATCGATTCAAGGGCCAGGGATTTAGCTCAGTGGTTCTGCTGCCTGCCTCGCAAGCTCAAGGTCCTAAGTTCGATACCCAGTATCCCCCCCACAAAAAAAGAATTCAGTTCTAGGCCAAGCATGATGATGCATGCCTGTAATGCCAGCACTCAGCAGGCCAAGGCAGGAGTATCACTGTGAGTTCTAGGCCAGCTTGAACTACACAGTGAAACCCTGTCTCAACAAACAAATAAACAAACAAAACGACAAAAAAATAAATTCTGAATGGATGAAGGATCTAGACATATGACCTGAAACTGCTGGAAAGAATATATTTTAAAATATTAAAAAAACAAAACAAAAAACCCTCTCCACAGTTGTAGGGGCACAGCCTATAATCACAGTAATTGGGAATCAGAGGCAGGAGAATTGCAGTGAGTTTGAGACCGGCCTGTGCTATATAGCAAGTTCAAGATCTCACTACCTAGTGACACCCTGTCTCAAAAAAAAAAAACACCAAACTAAACCAAAAAAAACCAAAACAAAACAAACACCACAAACTCTCAAGGTAACTTGGAGTGAACATTTTCTCTTGTACCTGCCCTGGAGAATTACTACACGATCAATGATACTGGGTAGATTTCTCTCTGTTCCAGAATAGGCACAAATAATTTGATTTAAAAAATTAAATATAGGATTTCACATTAACAATAAGGGTTCATTCAGTAACAGGGAAGAACATATCAAGAAATGTCTACAGCTAAGTTCATCTTGCAAAGCTGGAACTATGCTTATATTTTGAGTATAAAATAGAAACTATTAATTAAAACTGTGTAATAAGTGAAAAAGGAAAGGATTTAGAGAAATAAATACCTCTGTCCCTTAGAAAATCTTCAGGGAGGCCCATACATGTAAGTTCTTTGCTTGACTTCATCTGGAGGTCCCCCTAAAATAAGAAAAAACAGCAATAAAGGAAGATTCACAGACACCTGAGCTCACAAATGTTAATTATTCTTTGAAAGACTTCCTTATGACTCCAGGACATTTGCTAGTAATCACTGGATTGGAAATGGGAGGGAATCTCAAATTTAAGTAAGTATAATCAACAAAAACTTTCGCTTCTTTAGAATTTGATTTTGGAAAAAAATCATCTTTTCAATATCTAGATAACAACAGAGGTTAAATACATCAACCTGCAGACACAAAACCATACAAATGCCTTCTTGGGTATAATAAATATTTCCCCAACCTTCTTAGAGGGGATATTATTTTTATCCCCTTTCACCAAAGAAGTGAGAATATTGTCAATGATAACCAGTTTCTTTATACAGGAGAAATTCAGAAAAATCAGACAGGGCAAGGGTAGAGTATGCACATTATGGCAACTGTCCAGGTGCTAAGTAAGGGTTCTAAAGGATGAGTATATTTTTAGTGTGCTTTAAATAATTTATTTAACTGAAATGCTATATACTGACTTCCATTTATTTATTTATTTATTTATTTATTTATGGTACCAGGGATCGAACTCGGGACCTTGTGCTTGCAAGGCAGGCAGCAGAACCACCGAGCTCAATCCCTGGCCCTCCATTTATTTTAATACATCTTTTTCCCATGGTGATTTAGGGGATCTTCAAGCCAATATAAATGCTTCATAAATAGTGGTCATTTGGGTATACACTTGCAAAATACCTCATCTTTTAGCAAGAAGACACTGAAAAGTAAAGACCTGATACAGTTTCCCACCCCCACTGTAAAAGTAGTGAGGTCGGCCAGGAGGCCCGCCCACTGGCCTCCCTCAACCAATTTTACTGCAAAGTAAGCATACCGTTTCTTTTTTGTGATCCTCAGAATCCTGTTATGAAAACAAAAACAAATCTTTCTAGCTTTTTTTTTTTTTTTTTTTTTTTTTTTTTAAAAAATTTTTTTTTTTTTTTGTACCAGGGATGGAAATCCGGTCCTTATGCTTAGGCAGCAACACCACTGAGCTAAATCCCTGGCTCTCTAGCTGATTTTTTAAGGAACATAAGGAAGGCATTTGGGTGTCTTATCTGAGATTTTCTTCTGTGTAAACCTACAGTAGGACTCTGTAGGTTCAAATTCTATCTTCACCCTTGGAAAGCTGTGTGACTTGGCTGTCACATAGCCTCTCTGAACCTACATCCTTATCTGTAAAAGCTGCATTAAAACAGGGTTTACAGGGTGGGCAGAGCTCACTCAAAGCAATAGTTTGATCCAAGGTAAATGGTAAATGTACAACTTTTATATTTACACCTGATGACCCGAGGTCAGGGGATGTGATTCCCACTTGATTAACTAGATACATTCCCCACGCGCCCTTCCCGCAGCCTCATGGAGACCTATTCTCTCAGTCATTTTTTTTTTCTTTTATTGCGTTTACTGGTACATTTTAGGTATACAGTACAGTTACATTCGTTATTGGGATCTTGTACCTTTACATGACAGGTGGTCTTGGTTCTCATTTTTTCCCCTTGACCGTCCCCTCCCCATTTACAAACACTTTATTTCCATTTTTTCATATTCTCATATTTTTCCCTTATTCCCTTTCCCCTACCCTTCCCACCTTCCCTACACCTTTAGCCCTTTTCTTCCCATTTCACAATGTCAGTTATCTCATTAGCATCTTATGTACTATTACAGTTTATTCACACCAGAGAAACTATTCAGTATTTACACGTGTGACTTATTCACTTCACTTAGGAGTGTATCCTCAGTATGTATCCATTTTCCTTTGAATGAGTCTAATTTCTCATCCTTTCTGGGCCCAGGGCCTCCACGCCCTTTAGGAGGAAGCGCCCTCAAGGCCTCATGGTGGCGCATGAGCACCCAGGACAAACCTGAGCTAGAGCTCCTGAGCCACAGCGCTGGCTTCTCTGCCGGCCTGGTGGTGGTCGCAAGGACCCTGGGCCGCCGCCTCAGCGTGAAGACTTGACACAATTAACTAGGTACAAGGAGAATCTGCTCCAAATATTAGTTTCTCTGAGGTAAAGGTACCACACACACCGGTTCAATTACGAAAAACATCCTTACAACACAGGGGATTTTTTATTTTTAAGTAGGGCCTAGAATACTTAGCCACTACTTCGGTGCTGAATGGCAGGGCTATACCCCCAGCTGGTGGCATGAATCCACAGGGAACAGGTTCCAACAACTCAGGCTGCTTCCCTCTGGTTCTCACAAAGTGTGCTTCTTTGAGGGGGTAGGGCTGGTGCTTCAGGTGAACCCAGTAGCTTTCTCTTTGGCTTCCTTCTTCTTCTTATCATTTTCCTTGACACGTTTCAGGAAGCTACCTTGACACTCTGAGTGTTTAAAATGCTCAACTCGCACATTAATCCTCTTGGCAAGTATCTGGCCCTTGTTTACAACAATGCCAGCAGCATGCTGGGTGACACCGTGGACTCTTCCGGTTTTGCCATGGTAACATTGGTGTGGCCTTCCTTCTGAACAGTACCCATTCCCTTGATGTCTACAATATCACCCGTTTTGTAGATCCCACGTATGTGGCCAAAGGAAGGAACAACCTCAGGTTTTCTAAAAGCTCTAGAGAACATATACCGGGTTCCCTTCCTCTTTCCCTTTGTGTTTGTCATTTTGGTAAATTATTAGAAGATGGTGGTTCTGGCTGAAAAGAAGGCTGAGCATTCTTTATTTGAAATGCTCAGGACCAGTGATGTTTCAAATATTGTTTTTATTTTTTCAGTTCTGAAATATTCACATATACATAATGAGATATATAATGAGATATCTTGGGGATGCGATCCAAGCCTAAACACAAAATTCATTTGTTTCATATATAGCTTATACACACGTAATTTTCTTCAATGCTGTTAGTGAACCTACATTTTGACTATGACCTATCCCACAAGATCAGGTGTGGAATTTTGCAGATGATATGTTATTACAAAATTTTGAATTCTGAAGCATTCTGGATTTCAGATTTTCACATGTACGATGCTGCACCTGTATTACACCTCCTGGTTGGGAGCCTCTGACCAACCAAAGATGGCTGCCTACACTACCTTCCTTTGAGGTCACCTCTGTTTCCCTGTCTTAAGGTTTAGATCCCCCTACCCCACAATGGTTTAAATGATTTGCACAAGATTCTGATCAACACTTACCTAAAGCTGTAGATTATGAAAGTACAGCTACCGCTCTGAATAATTTTTTAAACTCTCTCTCTTTTCTTTTTTTGGTACCGAGGATTGAATTCAGGACCCTGTACTTGCCAGGTAGGCACTGTGCCACCGAGCTAAATCCCTAACCCAATTTTAAGAATTCTTACATTCACTTAGCCTACATAAATAAATAATAAATAAAATTCTAAACAAAATTCTGTGTTGGAAACAGAACCCAAAGGGAGTGGGGGAAGATATAAGTAATGGTGACTACAAATAAAAATAAAATATCATCATTAGAATTAAAGATATGATAACTACAATACACCATCACACACTAAGGATTATCCTTGTATTTCATTTCCTATTGGAACTTTAGTGTAGAATACTTGTACAAAGCATAAACTTAAAAAACAAAACAAGCATATCCCAGGGGCTGGGGATTTAACTCATTGGTGCTGCCACCTGCCTAGCAAGTGCAAAGTCCTGAGTTCTATCCCCAGTGCCAAAAAACAAGCATATCCCAGAAAAGCTACATGTACCACTACCATATTTAGCAAAAACAAACACAAAGTATGAATTCTAGCATGAAAGGCAGACTAAATGAGATAAGAGGAAGCGCATACCACAGAATGAAGGATGGGATTAGGAAAATCACCATTTGGCAAACATCACAGTAACAAACTTCTCAAGGGACAATCATTGGTGCAGGCTAATAATGGTTAAAAAGTTCATTTACAGTCTCACAGTATCTCCTCATAAGATACTAATTATAAGTGAGGAAACAATAAATTCACACTAGAGGAACCTGACAGCTCCCACTGAACCGACTGATAAATATTGTTCCCTGAGATAAGGCAACCTGAAACCACGTGCCTCCTGATAGGACCCATGGAGAAGAGCCAGCATCACTTCTGTAGTAGTACGAATGGCCAATTTGAATATGGTCTGTAATCATATTCGGATCAGTACAATCATTTCCTGATTCTGATTAATATATGCTGGGAAACACACACTGAAGTGTTTAGGCATCATGTCTGTTACTATACCCTCAAATTATTCAGGAAAAAAAAATAAATGTAGTAAAATGTCAACATGTAAGGAAGGTGCATGAGGGGTAAATAGGAATTCTTTGTATTATTTTTGCAACTTTTCTGTCTTAAAATTTTTTTTAAGGGTTAAGAAAACAAGCCAGATATGGAGGCGCATGCCTATAATCCCAGTACTCGGGAGTCTGAGGCAGGAGGGGGGTTGCTGCAAATTCAAGGCCAACCTGAACTGCATAGTGAGACCCTGTCTCAAAACAAACAAACAAACAAACAAATGCCATATAATAGCTCAAAATGTTTTTCAAATTGACGGTACACTAATTCTGTTTCCTACATCCAGCATGTTACCCACCTACTCATTGTTTTGGAAACAAAATTTATGAAACTTCTGTAGTTTTGGCAGATTTAGGAGGGGTCTTGAAAACCAATCTTAACTGTTCTTCTGTAGTCTTATTTCCCATTAAAATATGCCTGTATGTCTTGGATATGGTGCAATTCTTTAATTCATTCCTATGAGTTTAAAGCAGAAAAATACATAAAAATCTGGAGGAAAGTAAACATACATTAGGTCCTTCCATTCCTATAAGCAGGGTAGTTTAAAACTCCTCAGGGCCTCTTCTAACCAGGTCCAAAGCTAAGTTCCCTGAGCTGCAGGCAGAGGCAGATCAGTAAGAAAGGGGCAGTGATGGCTCCGTCTACAGATGAAACAACCAATGCACTATTTCTGCCAGTACAGAGCCAAAATGTGCAGCAAAGGAGCTACT